TCGATAAGTATTGAGGTCAAGCTCAGACATTTACAATTCTAATTTGACAAGTGAAAATAATATTGTAGACGTTAATCTCAGTTATATCATGATGTGTAAAATATGCTTAGAAAATGTGGAAACTTCCTTACTGAATCAAATTCGATCAAAATGTTGAATTTCCTGCTTACCCAATATAACTCAAGTTATTATTAATTTCGTTTCCTGCATGTATTATGTTGCTTTCGAAAAAAAAAATTTCTGATGCAGAATTGAAATTAATAACCTTTGAACTTCGGCTTAAAATATTTCCAGCTATGGGATTAGTTTTGTCCTTCAAGGAAAAGTGTAGCATAGTAAGATAGGTATAAAATTGTGGATTGCTACCATGAATATGGCCGGGGCAGATAGTGTTTGTTATGTCCGTCTTCTGTCTTTTCCTCACACTTTGCATTTAGCTCAGTTCAAAGTTCAGTTTCAAAGAAATTAAGATATTTTCATCAAATTTCATATTTTTTAGATATTAATGAGAGTCACTCAGGTGACCTATTGCTATCCGATTTCTGCCGTTGACTTGCATCACAGGGGAATCAGGGGTTTTTTGGGTATATAGTGAAAATATATTAATTCTTTGAAAATCTTCTCTGCTCCTAGGTATTAAATAACTAACTAAGTACATAGTTAGGGCCCTTCAAGGATTTGCTTTATTGTAATCACTCTGTCTGTCCGTCTGTCATTCTTCCTTTCACAAATTTCCTGTTTTTTTTTCTAATAACTTTTTATCGTTGCCCAATCAAGTTCAAATTCAGTAGTTCAATGGGCAGAAATACATATTTTGATGCTAAGTTTGGTTCTCTATGTCTTCTGATTTGGAGCTGGGGTGGTGGGTAGATTCCTTAACTATGCATAAAAATGAATGGGCAAAGAGAGATAACTGCTGAGAATGTTACCATTGTAAACTGGGAAGGCTGTACATTCAATTTGTCCTCTAGGATAAATTAACTTCCACATGAAGAAAATTCCAAGCTTTATCTTTATCTGTGACATTGAGATTAATAAATGTACTGCCTTTGTCTTTAAATGAACTTTGTTTTGAAATATGGATTTAAAATAATGTTCATAATTTATTTTGGTTAAAATACTGTACACAATGATTTATGATAATTTTATTGAATTCTAAAATCAAGATATATTTTAAGTTATCTTTTTTTTTAATTACTATTTTTTATTTTTATTTATTTATTTATTTTTTTGCTGCCTTAATGCTGTTGATTTTAACAGGTAATCAGATAATTAAATCCAATTTTGTCAGTGCTGAAAAAAGTTTTTATTGTAAATTTAGAAGAAAAGGATGAAAGAGCAATACAATTAATCCCATGGGATTAATTATCTCGCTTGCTGCAGAAAATTTAGAGGCATATTTTTATCTTCCATATGAAGATTAATGAACACCTATGTCTGCAACTGATGTTCGTTTTGAAGTTGAGGTCAATCCTGGGAAATATTTGCATTCACTAAAGTTCTTCTTTACTCCTGGGTATTTCGAAAATAAACTTCCTATATAATTCTGATTAATAGAGGCCCCTCATCTAAAATTGTGAAATTCAAGGCCTCCACTGTAGAAGGGGGGGGGGTTTCTCATATACTGAAAATGAATTGTTTGAATTTTGCTCTTTGTTATGAATCAAACATCAAAAACACCTTTACAAAACTTTACTTGCAAAGTAAATTTCATTAAAGGTGCTCCAAAAAGAAAGGTCATCTTTGTATTAACTTTACAAAAAGTAAAGGTGAAAAGGTTACCTTTACTTACACAAAAAGATAATTAAATATAACCTTGCACCTTTAATGTCATATTAAAGTTCATTAAATATACATATTTTATAAAAGTCTTATTTAAATGCTAACTATTGTTTAATACACTTACACTTTGGATTTTCACAGTTACTTTAAAGAATCTAATCTATTCAGTACCCAGAATTTTTAGACAAATTTCAAAGTAATATTTTAAATTATCTTGTATCCAATTCCAGTTGAAATTAGCATTAGAAATAGTCATCTACAGAATCAAACACTCGACTCATCATTATTTGACAGCCTACACCTCAAATAATACAACAACTATGCTGTAAGCCAGGTTAGCTTAGTTGGAGCAGCTGGCGTATATTTTGATACATGTAACAATACATAAATATTTAACAGACATTACATTGAATGTCATACAATAAAAGCACTGGAATGCATTTGCATGCAAGATATTTTACATGTAATAAATTATACCAATATCACAGACATTAACAACCGCCCAGGCAAAAACCATAGATGGTTAACTATGGAAAACCTGTGCCCGTCTTTATGTAAATAATGTCTCAAGGGAGAATGCCGGACGTGCATTCGGTGCAATAGTTAAAAATGCACGAACATCCTATAATGTTTGCATGTATGAAAAAATCCAAATTAAAATACATTTCAACAGTTTTGTTATTTCCATTACCAGTATATTTATACAAATATGATATATATATATTATATATAAAGAAAAAAAACATGTGTGTATTTAAGAGCACTGGCTTAGAATAATTTGAACACCTTACTGAATACTCATTTCTCATTGGCCTTCATGTTCCTCTGTTATTATGCAAGACCGAAGCCAAGTCAACTGAGCTAGTTTTTTGATGGATTAAAAGTAAAATAACAACAGTAGTGAAAGTGAAAAAATGTCATTTATTTAAGTAAATGACGCAAAACAAAATATAAACATATTATAAGGGGGTCAGACAAGACTAGAACAAACTTTGAAAGAATAAAAAAATCTTTGGTAACAATCTGACTTCCTAAAATTACATATATCATAAAGCAGGCACTGATATGCCTGTCATCAAAAAAGGGTGGGTTAAAGAAAATAAACGCAAAACAAATAAATATGAACACTAATATAAGTACATATATAACAAATATAATATAAGACGATGGAAGAAAGGAGGATGGATGGAGGGTTTTTCGATGAAAAATTTCCTTGTAAATTTGTGTGGCTTTCTCCTTTGGTAAAAAATAAAACAATGGTCACGTGATTAGGAGAAGCCACGCTGATTGGCTGTAAATTAAAACAATGGTGTCATGGATTAAATTTAGGTAATTGATCCCGATCTTAATAGTTTTAAACATGAAACAACTTTACAATAACCAAATAAAACATGTTACCTCAGAAATAAATTATAACAAATAAAACAATTATAGTTAATATAACTCTGTCACATAAAAGATATTATTATTGTAATAATAATAACTTTTTCCTTTGGCCACGCCCATATATACAACCAAAACCAATAATATACGTTCCTTTCATACAGTGTGTTCCCGCTCTACTACGAAACACAGGAGAAATGTTATCTGCACCAGGATTGCCTACAACTCTCTGGATTGGATGGCATAGATTTTTTATATGTACATTGATATTAATGATAAAGTAATCAATAATATAACAATAGGAAAAATTCGCATATTGATAATTTTTATTTTCCAAACAAAAATGATCTAAAATATTCTGTATTTTGGCTTCTCATCATATGATGAGTCAGATATACAGCACAAACAATATCCAGTTATAACCTTGAATATAAACATTATATTGAGCTATCTTTGACTTTTGTTTTCCTTTAAACATTTAGATACATATGAGACAAAATAAAAAAAAAATACAGATGATAAGTATAAATTTCACATTTCTGCTAATAATATGGAGGACCCATTTCAATTTGACCTCCATTTCACTTTAAAATATAATACCGGTAAAATATTACTTGTTCTTTATGGTGCATGTACATATATAAGATAAACTTTGCAGTTTTAATTGAATTAAAAATGATGCATTTTACATATTCACAAACAGAAAAAATGGTGAAAAATCTATTAGAATATATGTGAGGATGCAGTTTGCATGAGATCATGTATGAGTGCAGCTTCACCAAATGAGCCTGCCTGTGCTTGACTTAGTTTAGATAATGTTTTTATGTCTGTGGTATATGTAAGTGTGTTTACATATGTGTCCAGCTTTCTGAACTGTTATAATACAGACTACAATCCATGACTTTTTTACCCCAAGCCGAATTTCTTGCCCATTGGCTTAAAAAAACATTATCTTTTCTGCACTGATGGAGAAATTGGTCAGAGAAAGCACTGTTGTGTAATCAACATTAAAGAAACGTTTCGAGATAGCGAACACTATTCAAGATCATCAAAAAACTCACATAAACCTGCAGCATTAACTAAAACTATAGACACATTTACCACATAGATAGATTATGATAACTCCGTAACGAGAGACTGTTGCCTCGAGGCTTTGTTGGAAATACTGAATACTCTAAAACATATTTTTGTGTTAAGGCATGATTCTGACTCCATGACTGGCAAAGAAATGCACTATTCTAAAAAAATATATTGTACCCTTATTCTATTCCCATTGACCATGATTTGAACAAG